GCCACCGTCTGTGGTGTTATGACAGCAGCCTTAGAAAAGGAGTACACAGATTAAAGGGGAAATACATGATCATCTCAACAGATGAATAAGTACAATGAAATTCAAAACCATTCATGATTCTTTTATAATCAGCAAACTAGGAGACAAGCTGAGCTTTCTCTGTTTCAGGGTGTCGCAGGCCCGCCCAGCTTGGCTCCTTCTCTCCAAGGCTGAGGGAGGACCTCGGGCAGTTGCACAGGGCACACGCTCCTCCGACACCGAGTCCTCAACGAGCCCCTCCTGGGCCACCCTGTGGGCTCCGAGGTGTCTTCATGCCCTAACAAGCATCCTGGCCACCCAGACCTACACAAGAGCAGGGTCAGAAACATCTGCCGTGACCCTGACCCACATCAAGGAGTCGGGCCTGTCAGGCAGCCCTGGACACACAGGCCCCAGCCTCGCCCGGAGACCCAGGCTCGGCTGACAGAGCTGGGACAAGGATGAGGGCCTGCGGCCTCTCACGGATGTGCTCACTGGCAGCGCTCGCCAGAACGGTCCACACTCGTGCGCATGCACACGTGCAGGCACAGGAGTGTGCATGCATGTGCATGCACACATTGACACATGAACACGTGGGTCATGCGTGGGCATGCATTACACATGCATGCTCGTGTGGCTGTGCACACGCAGGTTCACATGTCAGCACACATGCACGTACTTCACATCCACAGGCCTCATCATCACAGCAATGCCATGAACCTAAAAATTTACAGAAGGGTGTACAAGAGAGGCCAGACGGCGTGAGGACGCAAAGGTCCCCTCCTAGGTGACTCCTTGGTCAGAAAGTGAACATGTGGCCATGACAGGCAGTTTTACAGCCACACAGGAGAGGCTGCACGACGTCCGTGGAGCCCGTGTCAGCAGGGGTGGTGGAGAATTCACAGCCTTTAATGTTTTTATTACTGAGCAAGAGACTGAAAATAAATGAACTAAACATTCGACACAAGGAGGGAAAACAGAACGATAAAGTAAATCCGGGGAGGCAGGAGGGGGATGAAGATAACGGCGAATTAATGAATTGGAAACAAGAAAAATGGGAGCACCCGTCAGTAAATCCAAGAGCTGGGTCCTCAAAATAAGTAAATAAAATAAGCCAACCTCTGACCAGCCCGACAAGAGACAGCAGGAGCCTGTGAGGGCCGAGGCCGGGGCATCAGAGACACAAAGATGAAAAGTGACAATACGCTGGACACTCCTGATGAAACGGACAATTTCCTAAGACAACATAAATTACCAAAATTAAAGAGGATTAAAAAGCTATATCCAGTGCTGGCGAGGCTGTGGAGAAAAGGGAACCCTGGTGTACTGCTGGTGGGACTGCAGATTGGTGCAGCCACTACGGAAATCAGTATGGAGGTTTCTCAAAAAACTGGAAATGGAACTACCGTATGACCCAGCAATTCCACTCTTAGGTATTTATCCAGGGAAACCCAAGATGCTAATTTGAAAAAATACATGCACCCCTATGTTCACTGCAGCGCTATTTACAATAGCCAAGACTTGGAAACAACCAAAATGCCCGTCGGTAGACGACTGGATTAAGAAACTGTGGTTCATTTATACAATGGAGTATTACTCCGCTATAAAGAAGAATGAAATCGTTCCATTTGTGACGATATGGATGGACCTAGAGACTATTATGTTAAGTGAAATAAGTCAGTCGGAGGAAGACAAATACCATATGATCTCACTTATATATGGAATCTAAAAATCTGAATGAACAAGCAAAGTAAACAGAAGTGGTCTCAGAGATATAGAGGAACAACTGATGGCTGTTAGTTGGGAGCGGGTGGGGATGAGGGAGAAGGGGAAGGGATTACACAGCATAAATACGTAACATATATATATATAAAATAATAAGTAAATAAAATAAATTTTAAAAATGAAAAGCTATATCCATAACTGCAGAAACACAGAAAAAGGTGGGTGACGGGTCGGTCGGGGACTCACTTCCATCCTATCCTACACGCCATTGGGAGGGCCAGCCCAGCTCAGCAAGGCGGGCAGGTCAGGGCAGGGGAGGGGGGGAGGGCTCAGTGCTGATGGCCGGTGGCCCTGAGGGGACCGGGGCCTCCTCCCTTGCTACCCAGAGGGCTGGGAGCTGCACCCTGCTTGCCCACAATTCTTCATGCAAACAGGACCCCCCTTGTGTGGCGATGAGATGGAGAGGTGCCAAGGGCACAGGAGCCGCTGAGCTAGGTCCCTGACCCCCCCAGTCCCCTCCACACCGTGCAGAGGGACGTGGGGCAGGGACAGGAGGGCTTCTCCACCACCTCGGCCACGGTGGTCAGTGGTCGGCCATCGCTGCCTCCGTCCCCGGCTTTATCTGGTTTACCTTTTGTGGAACTTGCCTGTAACGTCATCTGGGGCTGGTGTCTCCTTTGTGGGAAGATGCTAAACTGTCATTTCATTTAGTGGCTCTAGGATGGCCCCTGGGTTCTCTTTCTTCCAGAGTCAGTTTTTGGCACTATTTTTCCAGGCACACGTCTATTTCCTTAAGTTGTTCCGGATACTGTCCTCTGATCTTTGTGACTTCTGCTGCAGCCCAGGTTCTGACCTTCTTTTTCGAGCACCTACTGCTGTCTCTCTTCCCTGGTCAAGCCCCCAGCTGTTGTCAGCCGCCCAGTCTGTCGGGGACAAGACTGTGGGTCTTCTCGCTCTGGTTCTGTTGTCCGCTCCGCCATTATCTTTTCCCATCTACTTTCTTTGGCTTTGTTCTTTTATCCCCCATATTCAGGGCTCAGCAAATGGCAGCCTGTCTGTGCACAGGTGAGGCAGTCAGAAAGAGAGAGGGAGGGAAACTCAGGGTGGTGTTCACGTTGAGATGAGGACGGAGGACGTGGGAAAAGGAGAATTCTAACAGAGGCCACCCGTGGGCCTCAAAATCCAAAATATTTACTAACCGGCCCTTTCCAGAAAAAAGTTTGCTGACCTCTGCCTAATTTCTTAAATTAAATGCTGAGCGCATTAATTTTTCCAATTTTATCTTTTCTACTACAACTATTTTGGGTTACAAATTCCTTTCTGTTGACAACTTCAGATACATTTGACAAGTCTCAAACCCACCATGTCCACCATCATTCAGTTCTAAGTATGATCTGATGTGGGTGATCATTTCTTTGATCCGTGAGTTACACAAAGGGCATTTTCTAATTTTCTCAACATGGGATGTTTTGTTTGTTACCAAGTTGTGCTGGTGAAATACAATCTACGGGGCACCGATTTGTTGGCACTCACTGACGTTTCCGTGCTGGCGGGTGGTGGGCTTGACGCCCCAACATGCACCTGGAAGGAATGAATGCCGCTTCCTGTGAGGTGCTGCGTGCCGGCGGCCGGCGGTCGAGGCGCGAACAGGGTGACCAAGCCTTCCGTCCACATTGCTTCCTTCTGGGTCTGCTTCACCAGCTAACTACTAAGAGAGGATTACCCAAAAATCTCGCACCAGATGGTAGATTTGTGAATTTCTGCTTGCATCGTTGTTTTTGCTGCAGCATGTAACTTTTGGAATCAGTTACATTGGTAGGCGTCCCTTCCACTCACTGGAGGTTTTAGTCCCGTTTCACTTATGCTTACTGATGTCATCCCCACCACCTTAGCCAGTGACACCATTCCAGGAGGCTCTCTGGCAGGCCTGACACCATATCCTCTGAGGCCCTGTCCTGTGTCCCCACCGCTGCTGTCTAGGCCACCCTGTCCCAGAGGCCATCTATGGGCAGGGCCCTGCAGCCCCATGCCTGTCATCTTGGGCACCACCGCCCCCACCCCATAGCCCAGAGCACTGGGTTCTTGGGTCAATTCGAGCGACCCGCCGGGTGGTGACCACAGACGACACAGGTACCTGCATGGCACCTGTCTCCAAAAATTCACCCAAAGCACCACCTCCCACTGTTCATTCTGGCAGTTGTGTAGAAAGTCCAGGGCAGGGGTTCCAGGGTGCAGTCACCCTACCCCCCCACCAAGGACCCGCCTGTGGGTTCCTGAGGCTTTCGGGCCCTTGCACCTCATGTGTGGCCAGGTGGTGGCTCTGGGGGACAGGTGACACTCTCAGGGGCCAGCATGACCCTAAGGCCCCTTTTCAGAGGTGGCCAAAGGCTCCTTTCCGTTTCAGGTGCCTCACTGGCTCCTGTCCCACTCGAGAACCCGTGATGGGCCACTCACGACGTCATGATGACGGGGCTGCAGAGGACAAAGATGGCTGCACTGTGCCTGGTTCCCTCAGCACCTTTTCATCTTTCCTCTTTAAATGAAACCCCGCTGTCCAGGCAACACCGGCTGGGCCCAGGCGCCAGTAACTTGACCAACTCCCCAGCGGCTGAGAGCCACTGGCTGAACCGCAGGCTTTCTGCATCCGCCTGGCCATGGCTGCGGCACGTTGCTGACCACCTGCCTCCTAGAGCCCAGCCAGGGAGTGAGCAGGCTCTCAATTGCCCACCTCCGGAAATATCAGGGCCCAAGACAACAGCCTAGGTTTTAAGAGGGAAAAAAATTATTTGACATTATTCAGAAAAGAAACCATTATGGCCGCTCCATTCTGCAAGTAAATGTCCAGACCGGGCGCGGTGGCCACCAGCCACCGGTCAGTGCGTGCAGGGTGGACTTGACAAAAGGAGGGGGCTCGGCCTCAGGAAGGCCAGTCTGGAAAACCAGCACTTTCCACCTTTGAGCTACGGTCCAAACCACTTAAGAATGTGGCTTCCATTATGACAGGGATTTGAACAACTTTTCTCGGGGAAAAAAATCAAGACAATTTCTCCAAATATCATTAATGTTTTCTTTTGCTATCGAATTCCTTCCTCTTACCCAAAGTTCCTAGGGCAACGTCTGTAGAAATTCCTGTGATTTTATCAAATTAATTTTTAAAATACAGGTGAGCCCACATCCATCCTGTGCTGCGCCCAGACCGCAGAACGAGCTCCCCCTGCCCCCAAGAGCACCTCGAAAGTAATACCAACAAGCAGAAGTCACATGTGCAAAGCTAAGGCTTTATTGAAGCCTCACACCCAGTGCTTCCAGGACCGCTGTACGCACGGCCCTGCGCCCTCCAAAACAGAGAGCGCCGACCGCGGCCAGCAGCCCCCGGCAGCTCAGTCCTGCTCCAGACGGCAGGCGGGAGGACGGAGGTGGCAGGCTGGCAGTTCAGCACATGCGATGACAGAGTACATGGAGGGGCCCGGACCTCCGGTGCCCGAGGTCTCATTCCGAGTAGCTAAATGACGCACGGCCCCTTCACAGCAGGCGTTTACAGAGACCAACCCGCACTGGGGTCTGGATGCAGACTCCCGGTTAACAAATGCTCTTCTGAAAATTCATTTCAAAATAGAGATGCTTTCCCCACAACTGTAAAAGCCATCAAAATGCAAAATACTTCTTTAGGAAAGACTGAACCAAAATTACACCTAATGTTTAAAATAACACGTAACCTCGTTTCTTTCTGTGCCCCAAGAACAGACTGGCAGCCATAGCCTCTGCCTGGGACCTCCCCTGCCTGGTGGGTCAGTTGCTCTCGATCTGCTCCAGGTCCAGCTCACTGTGGTCCAGAGGGAAGATGGCCTCCTCCCCAGCGCTGTCCCAGTCACTTGGGTCCCCACCACTCCCACCCTCGCCAGCCACTGGCTCCCGAGAGGCCCACAGGCTAGGACTGGAGGGATGGGGCCCGGGGCACGCGCTCAGGGGGCTGGAGCCAGTGGTGAGGAGGCCCGTGAGGCTGTGTGGGTCACGTGGGGAGGACACGCCCGTCTTCACTCCGGTGTCATCCTCATCATCTTCGTAATCGAGGGAGCAAAGGCTTTTTGAATTTTTTAAAGTCTGCAACAGAAAACATACAGACTTAAAGCATTCCAGGAGGGTTTGTGGGAGGGGGCATCCCGCTGACCCCAACAGTCCTCCAAGTCACATAAAGTGTCGCTGGTCCCCCATGCCTCAGCCACCACCTCCCCCCGGGGCCGTCGTTCTCAAAGCACTGCGTGTCCACGTCCCTGACCTTTACCAGGTGGCCACAAAACCTTCAGCTGCCTGTCGGGTGCCCCGAGGAGACCCGTGTCCCCGCCCCACCCAGACCAACGTCAAGGTCGTGGTGCGTGACCCCTGAAGCAGTAGACACCCAGAGACTGGAGCGTAGAGCTGTGTCCACAAGCCACCTCCTACTTGGGAGAGGCCTGGCCGGGAGGGTCCCAGGTCCAACGATGGCTCCCGCTAGGCGAGTCCCCATGTCCCACCCCCTCCCCCAGGTCTGGGGGGCCCCATCGCACCTGGCTTCCCACCTTTCTCTCCCCTCAGCCCTCCTCTCCCGATGGTTCTTTTCCTTCAAATACGAACGTGCGTAAGTCTTTGTCATCTTAAAATTCCTGACACATACTCCCCACTGGGGCCTCCCCTTCACGGCCTCAGCACACACCACGTGTTGCCTGTGCTCAGAACGGCCTCCCCTCTGAGACCAGTTAAAGACGGGGGCTCCCCAAGCTCAGCTCCAGCCCTGTACCCCCAGACGGTTGCACCCCCAGACCAGAGCTCTTCCCTTAACAGCAAAGTCCCACCTCAGTGGCACGTCTCCCAGGCTGTCCCACGGGGGCTGAGAGCCAGCAAACCACCCCAACCTACCTTTGGGGGTTGCTGATCCCAGGCCGTGCAGCGGGACATGCCTGGCCTCCTGGTCTCCTGACCTCCGCTCCCTTGGCCACAGCCCTGCTCTGGGCTGCGCACGGCAGCAGCCCCCTCAGCACGGCCAGGGCCCCGTTCCCCCGACACCACCACCCCAAGCCCTTGCCCCAAACTTCTGGTCCTGTCTTCATGCTGTCACCCGTGTGCCGTCCTCCATGTGCCCACACTTCTGCTGGAGCAGCCTCCCGCCTGGCTCCACCCGTCAAGCTGTCACCTCGGGACTCCTGTCCTGGGCCACACCCACGCTGCCCCCAGACGTGTCACTCTGTGGCCCCAGGCCTTCTACAGGGAACCTGCAGACACGGGAGTGACAATGCATGTGTGGAAGCCAGCCACAGGGACACAGCCACCCCAATGTCCCAGGCTTTAATTTGGTATCAGCACACTGGCCATGGACATCGGTGAATTAGCGCTAACCAACTCTACACCCGAAAGCATGGAACGACTCCTAACAGAAAAACCCACCCTGTGGCTAGAAGGTTCTCTGGAAACAGTCCTGCCGAGAGCTGCAGCCAATGAGGGCCCCCTAGGAAGATGGGGCTTCTCCGAACCAGGACTCCCAGGCAGCTCCTTGGCTCCCTGAGACCGGCGCCCGTGCCCGTGTTTTCATTGTTTTACCATCTTACTCTAACAAGCGAGTCACTGTCTGAGAAGCAAAATGCTAAAAGAATCATATCTTTAGACACCACTGGCCACATGTTTTGGTCGCAAAGTGCAGGTTCATGAGATCATTTTTTCTTCATTCAAATCAAGGCAGATCTAACACGGCCCGGCTTGAGGACAGGGCTGCATCCATGGCACATGGTGTCCTCGCGCCCTCGTCACCCTGGCTCCATGTGTGCCGGCGCCCACCCAACAGCATGGCGGGCCCAGCTGTGCACACACATGAGCTGACGGTGTTACAGGCCTTTCCTTAAACCTGCACCTAAGGTGCCCTTGTTACTGATGGCAGTGACCTGACAGGCAGGGGAAGCCTCTGTGCACAAGTCACCTGCGGACGACAATTATGCGGCCTGCGTGAGAAAATGCAGGCTTTTCACAACTCAGCTCAGGCCATGTGTGAAGGACTCACAACCACGTTACACAGAAACAGCACATGCAGACCCACACACGTGCGGCTCGGCCCAGACGGGGAGTCTCGTCGCCCTACCACCGCACAAAGCCGCGGTGGTTGGCCTGGCCTGGCCTGGAGCCCGACCTGACAAGGTGACCCTCATCACTGCACGGTCCTGGCTTCTGCTACCGTCTCTTGGGTTTAATGGGGACCTGCATATAAGCAGATGAACATAAAATATTTTTCAAAAATCGAAGGTCAAGGCTTTGTAAGGGTCTTTCAACTTGTGTGCAGGACGGCCTCCTGTGGGGATGCCGGCAGGAGACCACCCGCCGTCTCCACTACCTGAAGCCAAGTTAACCAGTTGCGTGTAAGCCAGGAGGTCCAGAGAGGAACACGAAACCATTCTGTGAGCCACCCTGCATCCCCTCCAACACGGTCCAGGGACTGCCCGGCCCCCTGCACCTGGCCACTGGCCGTGGCGCCAGCTTACTCCCACGTGACGCACAAAGCCTGCTCTTCTGCACAAGCACAGTCTTAGGGGGCCCCTGAGACCGCGTGAGAGGCTCACACCACATCCCTGCTCAGCCAGAGAGGACCTGCCCACAGTCAGCAGCCACCTGTCAGGCCAGCGCTGAGCAGGAGCCCCAAGTGGGGCCTCCCGCTGCCCACGCGCACCTGCCTCCCAGCACACGTGTGCACTCACCCCACAGGCTCCGGCTGGGGGAGGAAATACGGACACACGCCAGCAATGAGCAGCTCCGTGCAGCCAACGAGACAAAGCCGAGCACCTTCCCCACCCAGACAAAGGGGAGGGCCAGCAGGCCCAGGCCATGGAGGCCTGAGGGGCTGGGAGTGTCCACACAGTGGGGCGGGGACAGAGATGGCCAGAGGTGAGGGCGCCTGTGTGCAGGCAGGTACCCCATGCCTCTCCTGGGCCCTCCTCACCCTGAGCAGCAGAGCTGATGGCCCAGGGAGGATCCCACTGCCCACCGGACCCCCGATAGAGCCCGGCTTCCTCACCCTAAATATCAGTAGTGGCAGGAGCCAGGGAGGGGGTGTCCTGCACGCACACGCACGCACACTCCTAGCCACAGTGTTCCAGCTACGACCGCACCCTCAGCACCCCACTGGCCGCGTCTCCTGGCCAGCAGGCCAGGAAGCCAGTGGGAGAAGCAGCCACTGCACATCCCAAACGCTCAGGATAGTCTTTATTGCCCTGATACCGTTCCAGCCACAGGAGGATGTGAACCGGCAGCAACCGTGCTGGGGCGTCACAAAGCCTGACCTGATCAATAAACACCAGATTCCAGTGACCACAATGGGCCGGAGGAGTCAGCCCAGCTCCGTCGAGCCCACTTCCCATGTAACTGTCCTCGGACCCCCCGGGTCGGCACCGACAGGGAAGCTACTGCCGGCGGAAGGAAGCTCCGCGGGGCTCCCTCCCACCCCGCACACCCCCACGGTCACGAAGGCATGGGACAGGCGCCCAGGACACCCCAGCCCGCTGCTGGCCGCCCTGGCCGCCCGCCCCTGAGCGCGGGAGCAGATGACAGGGCACCGGGTCCCTCCTGCACCCACTCGCTCGTGCTTCTGCCCTCCGCGGTCCTGGGGGCCGTGAGAAGGCCATGACAGCCCCGAACTGCCCACCCTCTTGGCAGCCAACGTCCTCTTTCACGTCACAACTGTCTCATTGGACCACATACATGAGGACTTTGGGACAAGATGCCGAGAGTCAGGGCCGGGTCGCCAGCTGTGACCACCGGGAGGGCGAGTCAGCGCCCTGTCCTCACAGGGGATCCTCCCTCAGATAGGGTTGCAAGCCCTGCGTCCCTGCTAAAGTCTCGAACATGTGACAAAATAAAGACAAGAACCAAGAACATGCTTATGTGACAAACGGAAATCCACAGTGGACCAACATGTCGCAGTCCCTGGCCCTGCCAGGCTGTGCCGGACACACAGCTGACTCTGGGCAGCTGTGGGGTCAGCAGGGCCTGAGAGACAGTGCTCAGGCGCTGTCACCTGCCTCGGGGCCTCCCACCTGGCAGCCAACGCAGGCGAGGGTGGCCCAACTCTGAGACCGCTGTCTTCAGGCCACTGAGGTATGTCCATCTCCACCAAGGGCTGACCTTCCAATAACGTGGGAGGCAGCTGAAGGTTTCCTAAGTGACAGAGGCTTTTAAAAGCCTTAGGAACAGACACTTTTATAAAAACCCGCGCCTGCTCACACACTCTTAGAACCATGACTGATTTGCACATTTTCAGTGATAATATTTTAACTTCAATTTCGAAGCAGCTTTGCTAATCAAAACAGAAAATTCTAAATGTTTTCCTGTGCTAACATTCACTTACTCAGGAGGGGATTTGGGAGGCAGCTGTGTCCACTCCCTGGTGACCAGAGCTGGCCCTCGGCCTAAGGAGGGTGGCCTGGAAGCTGGGACTCGGGAGCTGGCTAGGCCGGTGGGAGGCTCGGCCGACCAGCTCACCATGTCCAGGCCTTCAGTCTTGGACTCTGCGCTCCCCTGGCCTTAAGTCGAGGCACAAAATGGGGCGCCCTGACATTAGGGAGCACTGGGTGGGGCCACTGAGACTCATGTGGGAAGCATGCAGTCACGGCTGAGCCTTGCACATACGGCGAGAAATCCCGGTCACCCCATGCCGCAGGCTGGACCGAGCACCGGTCCAGACCCCAGGACAGTCGTAACCCGTCACAACCTGTTCTCTTACGTCCCTCCTGGCCTGTTTTGCAAGTGCCACTCCAAGAAGCATCCCGTAAAAGTGAAGCAACCTCCAGAGCAGGACTGTTTGGTCTCCGATCACAAGTCTGCTGCCAGAACCTGCCACCTCCCCATGACAAGCACACTTCCCAAGGGGGATGCTGGGTCCCTAGGGGAGATGAGACATTGGGGTACACACACACACACTGGTGGTGGCCGGGGCCACCACACAGCCCTGTGACCGGCCGCAGGAACGTGCCGGGCAGAAGGAATGCGCTGAGAAAGGATAGGCGACTTTGATCTCTAGGTTTTGTTCTCTGGGGCAGCGGATGCCTCAGTCCTACTCGACTGGGTTCTGTTCTCCCATCTATGGCCGCCTGAGCAGTTTGACCACAAAATCTCCTTCAACTCTGCCCTTCTTCCTGCCCAGCTGCTGAGGCCCAGGACTCACCATGTCCGCTCTGGACAGTGGCCCTCAAAATCAAAGGTGACATGGCAGTCCCTTGCCTAGAGCCCTGCAAGGGCTCTGTCACCCATCCCAGAGGGATGCTTTTCAGGGGAGACAGGGAGCACCAGAACCAACGTACATCAGACCAGTGTCCTGATGCTTCCATCCATGCACACAACAGACCAACAGACACACACACACCGTGGAGAGGTCACTCATTCACACACACACACATACACACACGCCATGGAGAGGTCACTCATTCATTCACACAAACACACACACTCACACACACACACACGCCATGGATGGAGAGGTCACTCACACACACACACACACACACACACGCTGTGGATAGATCACTCACACACACACACACATGCCGTGGAGAGGTCACTCATTCACACACACTCACACGCCGTGGAGAGGTCACTCATTCACGCACATTCACACGTCATGGAGAGGTCACTCACACACACACACACACACACACACACACACACACACGCCGTG